GCGGAAACTTAGTTGCGCACCTAATACAATTTAACATTATTAAACCAGGAATTTCAGATTTTAAATTAGAAAAGAAAGAATTATTATGTCCAATCATAATCGATGTATTATCGCTTGCCATTCTAATGATATTTTTTAAAGGAATTCCCTTCCATTTATAGAAAAAAATTCTTTAAAAGTTAAAAAAATTTTTTTCGCGCTACAATCTCTTGCATCTAATGCTAATAACTCCAACAATTGCGTTTTTATTTTCTTATTATTAGGGCAAATATATCGTACGAGCAGGCATATAAATTTCGTATCTGTAATATCCGTGCGTTCATCTATTGAAATCGAAAATTTACATGTTTTTAAATTTTTAGTTAGCTTTTTTGTTTCGCGTTTTACCAAAACATCTTTTACAATATTGCTGCACTTAAGTCGACCCAGTGACAAATTTTGTAAAATTTTAGGTCGAACGAATGTTTTTTAATAAAGATATCAAATGCCGTGTAAAAAGCAATGTTATGTTCGACAAAAAAAGCGGATAGTTTTATTTCTCTTTCGTTTCACTGTATCATCATGGAAACGTTACTAACAACGTTATCGAGGTTTTGATTTTGATTTTTTATTTTATCTATATGTTTAGCCCTTTGCGAATGCTTCATATAATATCTGTTCTACAATATTTAAAACTGGAATTATATATATTGCAAAAAGCTTTATTTAAATTAGAATAGGGAGCCAACTATCCTTTAAAAATGTTCTCATCTAATCACGAATTTTGAAATTTTCTATCATACTGTTTTTTAATTGCTCCTTTAGCAACATTTAAATCCATATTACACAAATATTATATAAATTATAATTATATAAATAATAATGTATTAAGCTGATTCTACAATGAGTCGGTAATCGGTAATCCTAAGTCTTATCGGTGAATCGATGAAATTGACCAATAACCAACTTGTACGATTAAGACTACCGATTTTCTTAGGACTGACCAAATTCGATTTTATTCCTTCTCATTAGTCGGATTAAACGACTCGCTGTACAATTAACAACTAGCAGATGCGAAAAATCATAATCACTATATTAGGTTAAAACTGGTTAAGACTTAAGATTTCCGACTATCAACAAATATACATATCTAATTATGACATATCGCTTCACCAGTTCGTTTCTTTGCGAATGCAACAGTAGGAAAGATACCAATAAGTTTTTCAATAGACAAAAAATTATTTTGAAATTGCATAATATACAGTGTCCGCTAAAAATCTCGGGCCACCTGTATAATTTCTGAATAATTCGAGATATAAAATTGAAATTTACAGGGATATAACAGGATCGTAAAATCTATCATTGAATCTCAAAAACACTCACCTTAACATTTCTGGAGAGAGTGGGGGGGGGGGAATCTTAAATGATATGTGAATGAAAGCTCATTTGGACTTTTTGAGCCGAGAACAACGCGGATTAACTGAGGTCTCTATGATTTTTTTCGCAGAGTTATGAATCAGTTTATGTATTAAAAATCTAAGTAGTACTCATAAAATACATTCAGTAGAAAAATATAATTTAAAAAAATAAAATGCAATCTTGATATAATTTTATGCTCTCATGTAATATATATTGTTATTAATTACTTACAAATATAATAATTTAATATTGTCCATGTATCTCACTTCCAATTCTTTAAAAATGTTTATCTATGAAAATTAAATTACAACAAATATTTAAGAAGTTGATCACCTTAATATATACACAATCTTCTAGCTTCTCCTTTTTTAGTAAATGACAGAACATGAGGTCCATGCTGGCACTGCCATATGCAAATGTACGTACAGTTTTTTTGCACAGGGCCTCCATCTTCATTGGATACAGTGTAGGGATTGTATCTTCGATCCCCAAGCAACCGGCAGTATTGTTACCTCAAGTCATATACCATGTTGTCCATTGACACAATTAAATATGTCTCATAAACGCATATATTATAAAATTGGACTTAACTAGTTTATATGAAATGTTTTTATCAATAGTTAATAGAATGTTAAATACTCAATTATCGATGATATATACACATAGTAAAAATCATTTTCTGTAGGATGAGAAATCAATCAATCTTTGCAAATATTCTCATCTAGCCATGACTTAAATAAAATTTATACTTTTTTCTGATGATTCTTTTTTGATTATTTTTACTCATTCAAGTTTTTTAGATATTAATCTTAACCTCACCTTTAACCTAGTTTTCGCCAAAAGTTGTCGAAAGTTTATCGAAACTTCTCATACAGACATATCTAAGAGAATGGAATATATAAATACAATATAACAATATAGCAGTAGAATAGAAAGAAATTTGAAAAGGGCCATCCGAACGATGTTACCAGATGTCTTTATCGACTTCCTCCTAGAATAACCTTGAATTTTTCCTAAAGATGCCTTTTCATGTTGACTCTCATTTTCAGCGCTAAAATAGATCAAGTAATCAAAATTGACACTTGATTAATTTTTATCGCGTAATTTATTTTTCATTTTTTATCAATTTTTATTACGTGATTTATTGGGTCATCTAAAAAGTATCCGCGGTTTTTTGTCACTAGATGTGTGTTGATGGTCATATATCTAGTGACAAAGTATCGCGGATACTTTTTAGATGACCCAATATTTTGACGCTAAAAACAAGCGTCGAACATCAGCATGAAAAAGCACCTTAAGATCTGTTCGCGTTTTAAATTATTGCTGCCAAGTCTGTTCGGAAATTATTCTTTATATTGCAATTTTTTCGATCTTTTGAATTGTAATTTATGCTTTTTTGTATTGTCCTCTTCATCCGGAAATTCTTTTAAATTCTTTTTGTATCCCTAGAAAATCTCGCGGTAAAAAGAAAAATCTTCAAATCTGATAGAAATTCTACAAAATTCACAACGCTTCAAGTCCCCAAAGAATTTTGCACTCAAGCTAATCAGTCGATTAAGTGTCAATCGTGATTGGTCAATTCTGCTGAACAGCAAATGCGATTGGTCAATTCCAATGTAACAATCAACCAATTAAAAGATCGATTCTGTATCTTGAAATGAGGTGAAAATTACAAAAGTAAGTGAATTTATTAGAATATTGATAATTTCGTTGGTTAACATCTAGTAAATTTGCTCATTTTTGTAATTTTCACCTGGGAATCGATTTTGTATCTTGAAACAAGGTGAAAATTACAAAAGTGAGCAAATTTACTAGAATACTGATAATTTCATTGGTCAACATCTAGTAAATTTGCTCACTTTTGTAATTTTCATCTTATTTGAAGATATAGAATCGATCCTTAGATTAATTGGAGTTGATGAGATCGGAAGTGAGATAAAAAGGATAAAAGGTTTTCTGTTTTTTTAGCTAAAAGTTGTGTTCGCTTTTGTGCTTACAACGCTTTAAGTGTCGTTTTATCCTTATTGTTTATTAAATATTAAACAAGGACAATTTATACACAAACGCTGTGAAGCGAACGCAACCAAAGATGAACCATGCAAAAAGTTCAGCTAAAAAGAACAGAGGGTCGATCCTGTATTTTCAAGCAAATTTACTAGGTGTTGACCAATGAAATTATCAGTATTCTAGTAAATTCGCTCACTTTTGTAATTTTCACTTTGTTTGAAAATACAGAATCGATCCCCAGGTCTAAATAGATATTCGGGCAGTAGAAGTGACAGAAAACGAGGATGTTGAGTACAAAAAGTGCAAATAATTCGAACAGACCTGTTGTACATACGTCAGTCCTTAGCCATTTGAGCCATTTCTAGCCTCTTCCATCGCGCGTTCCCCTACCTCTGTCCCTTACGTTCTTTGCCCTTCGTAATCGGCCTCGACTCAGCGTCGATCATTGGAGTATTCGGATTGTAATCTCGCGCGGTGTTTGACCGCTCTTGCGGTAGCTTACGAAGTTCGGTAGGATTCACGTGAGAGGTGTGACAGTATCGTTATCCCATCGGCATTTGCGTCTCGGAAGACACGGATTCCCGCGGTCGGCGTATACGGCGCCGTACGTCGTACAACAATGAGGAGGGAGTGAGATATGCGCGTGAGAAGATCGACAGCGTTGACGAGGACGACGGCGGCGGCGGTGACGAGGAGGAGAATAACGACAACGGCGGCGGCGGCGGCGACGGCGGCAGCGAAGCGCCGACGTATCATCTCTTGACGTTCCTCGCGCCGGCGTCTCACATTCGCACCACAACGCCAGGCTTTCACGGCGATCACTGCGGATCCTCGTGCCGATCACAAGCTCGCTCGCACAGCGGGCCCAGGACGAGCCAGGTCGGCCAGGCCACTGTTTATACCGGCGATGCCGATAACTGCCGGGGCAGCGATGACACACGC